TAAAATACCTTTTCCAGATAAGCAAATAAATCTTAAGCCACAGTATATAGTAGATATACATTTCAGGCTCAACAATAACAGAACATAATATATTCCATCTGAAGGAGAGAATGAACTGGAGTCACTGAACTTTCCAGTTTTGTGACGAAAAGGTTAATTCATTCAAAATTTCAAAACATACTTCATAGGCTAATAAACTGAAAATCAACAATATGAATAGAGCTGACGAAGTATAGTGGTGCCAAAAAGAACTGGAGAACAATTCTTACGAAAGAAGCTGGTACGGGAATCCAGGTCTGGGACTAAATGCAATAGCAGTAACAGCTCCAGTATGTCCACGAAGTACCGAAACTGGTAAGCCATCTGGCAATCGCCACTAGAAAAAATCCAGATGGTGAACTCGTCAAGGAGGCTAATCTATGGAAGTCATAGTGGAAACATATACAGAGGATGATACAAGAAACTTACAACGCGAATCACACAATCATTTGATGCGGATGCTATAAAAGTGTTGTTTGAACTCACAGCAAGATCAGTTATGTCACCCTTGTATATTCACCAGAAACACATATTGTAAACACTACCTAAGAATACAGTAACAAGGTTATAGTAAACTCAGAGAGTACTTGGAACTCACTTCATGCCCTCGACAGCTGGTAAGGCAGTATGCAGTCTCCATTGACCATACTTTTACGAGGCGGTCATCTGAACCAGTGATTACATACCTCCCTGAGCGGTCAAATATAGCTGCAGCATATTCACATAGGTTCAGGCATCCAGTTCATCCCAGTGATTAGCGTATTATTTGACAGCCAAACATAATATTAAAATTCACCTCTAAACACGTAAATAACTTACCACAGTACACAGCATTTCTGTGTCCACGTAGCCTTTTGATGTTCTGCATCTTTTGCACCATTGTAGATGGTTTTGCAATGACATAACATGCTGCACGAATTGATGGGGCTCGATGATGTCGGGCAAAACCACCACCAATTTCTCTCAAACTTAAACCACGCACCTGATCAGCACGCATATGAGGCCAACGCATGCTAATAGGTGGTGGTTTGAGATTACTTCCAACTATGTCCTTGTCATCTGCAAACCAAACGAGGCAGCTTTAGCGAACCAAGCTTATGAAAGAGCTTCGTAAATGCATAACAAGTCCTAAGTAAATTCTTAGAGTAACTGGTTTATTATAGCTTGTGTTTATACATGTAGGATTTTCTATATATATATGTGTGTGTGTGTGTGTGTGTGTGTGTGCATGTGACAACAACTACACTCGACAAGAAAATAAATTTTAGAAATCACCTACAGCTCAAAAGGGAGAACGAGCCAGTCCCTAAAAGAGTTGGGACACCAGCTGCAGTCAGTTTGTTTCCATTTCCATCACCGAGACCGCGTGAGGGAGTAGGCCTACTTGAAACAAAGACCAATTGCTTCAGGAGCTCCACCAAGTGATCTTTTTTTACGTGAGAATACCTGAGAGTGAACAGTAAAGTCATGAAACACGTACGAATCTCTGGCGGAAAGAAACCTATACCAGTCATTAATAAATATGAAAAATATACATATGTAAGAAATGAATGACCAATGATTAACTTCTTCACGTACAAATTCATATGATTTCCCCTAAGTACTACAATCAGTGAGAGAAACTCTACTAGTTACCTCTTGACCAACTCAGCATAGTTTAAAGGAAAGGAATCTCCATCATCATTTCCATCCCCACTAGGCAGCCCACTCCTCGAGTACCAAGCATGATATCTTCTAGGAAGAAGCTCATGTTCAAGAAGCTCATGTCGCAACAATGCATAAGTTCTCTGGCATGGCCCAGAGGAAAGTAAGTGGAGCATCAAAAAGTAAACTTCCCGCATGTCTAAGTCGATGTTAGGTACAACATTTTGAGAAATATCTGGGTCTGCCATCTGCACATTCCCTGGCAACTTTTTAGATAAAGTCAAAGGCTTCATCGGAAGAGAGACTGGATCGGCTTTCGGAGTATTTTTCCTAAGAGCCATCAGACCCTGCCAATTTTCCACATATTGACGTCAATTATCAACGCAGAGAAAACAAGCCAACCCAAAAAGACAGACACAAACTTCAAAAAGATAGTATTTTCAACCAAGAACAGAAGTGAAAATAAGACCCTAAGCAATCTCCTGTTCGTTATACTCTGGAAAACTAGAGATAACGTCATCTCTAAGCTTTGAGCGTATTAAACATCCCTAACTACGTAGTTCCTATTAATTCGACTCTACGGAAAATCACAGGACAACATCGGAAATCTATAAGGGGATTGCAGGGAACGCCAAAACCCAATGCATCTCAACACTTTGAGCATACCAAAAATCCTTAACCAAGTTGTTCCTATTTAATTCCTATTTAAAATACCATCCATCGTACAAATGGCTGCAAATCTGTCTACTCCATCATTGTACTAATGTTTAAAATACAATATTTCTCGATCACAAGGATCACCATGGCACCAAAAGGGACTTAAAACTACATAACTGAAGTATCCAAGATCACGAACTCCATAAAAACTCCTGTGAACCAAATAAATACACTTTTCCCAATGCACATATATGAAAACATGCCAAAGCTTTTAATGCTAATGTTTTCACCAAATCAACATCAATTCAAAATGTGAGAGAGCTTAGAGACTGAACCTCCAAGGATGCACCGTGATCCAAGGAGAGCAACGATCACAGACAAACACAAACGGAGATAACGACTCTCTAAACCCCATAGCACATTGCATCAGCAACATAAAATCTCCAAACCCTAAATTCGAAACGCCCGATCTCCAACAACCAGATTAATCCAAACGCAAAATCCAATCAAACGTTTGCAATACAATATCCAGATTGAACACAAGCACATGCACAAAGCCAAATAGTTCTCTCAGCTTCAACAATAATCCCTCAATAACAAAAGGAAAATAAAAATATATAAAAAAAAGTTGTTCGAACCTCTTATGAGTGTTCCAGAAAACGGCGGCGGTTTAGTTGAGTCTGTTGATACGTTTGGGATTCGGCGGAGAGGGATTGAATCCGAGAAAGTCAATTTAGGTTTCGGGGATTATTGGAGAGAAAGAGAGAATCAGAATCAAGGAAGCGTATAACTGTCAATCTTGTGAAGGTCTGATAGTTATGGTGTTTGTTAGTGTTGTTGAGCATCGGGTGTAGAAGGCCAAGGATTTTCTTTTTTTTTTTTTTGGTGGAGAAACGCACTTGGATAGAGAGACAAAAGGGAGGAAACAGAACAAGTGAAACGAACTTGGCCCTTTAAACGCTGCGTTTTGCTGTTATTTTAGCACCTAGGGAAGTGTCCTCCTATCACGTCCTGGTTTACGATAAATAACATGTGTTTCGGCAACATACCAACAGTGGCTGTAGTTTAGTGGTGAGAATTCCACGTTGTGGCCGTGGAGACCTGGGCTCGAATCCCAGCAGCCACATCTGTTTCTTTTTTTGAAGTTATTGAGTTTTGGGTTATAGGCCCATGGGTTTTTGGATAGCTACTTTAGTGCTTTTCTTTTTTCGTTTTGAGTAATAAAGCCTTTTAAAAATTTTATATACTTTTATTATTAGTTTTTTTTTCATGTTTGCAGTAATCATTGGTATTTGGTGAGAAATTAGTTGACTACATATTTGATGTACTGTTTTAGATAATGAACTTTAATAATGATAAGATATATAACAAATCATGAACACACAAAATTGAAGAGATTGATGAAAACAAAAAATTTTCAATCCCCATGCCAGACTTCAAATTCAACAATCTCTTCCAAAAGCATTGATAATGCTACCAAATAAATATGTTTAAAAAAAACGTCACTGATTTACTTTTTTAGTGAGATTAATGAAAAGATAAAAACAGTATGCATATAGCAAAACAAAACAGAAAAATAAAGTAAAAAGCAACATAACATCACAACCAAAAACAAAGGAGGAAAAGCAAAGACATACATATGTTTTAGTAACATCTCTCAAAAGAATGTAAATGCTAATTTAACTGGAATAATAACAAACAAACAAAAACAGGCTGAGTTGAATTTTTACTTGGTGTACAACACATCTTCCCATGGGTCAGTGACTACTTCAGCCTCTTCTGATGAAATGTATGTCCAATCAACCGATATGGATCGAGCAAGAACAAAGAGACCGTTGAGATAACCCATCTGAACAATCTCGTCTATCTCTTGCTTTGCAAACATCCCACTTCCAGCTAGAAGGTCCAAGAAGAGAGACCCAATGGCTCCATCAACGTTGAGTACGAGGTTGTTTGCCTTTGAGAGCGTGTAGCTTTCCACTGTTACTGCATACTCCATGATGGGAAGTTAGACCTAGCAAATTTCTGAAGCAGCTCCAGTACTCTCTTTTCTATGTTGTCTCTGCTCTTGATCCTACCAAGAAGAAGAATATCAGGTTTCAGACAAGAGATCATGTGTCCTTATTACAAGAAGTACCTGTGTCCAATCCCAGGGACCAGTGGTTAGTAAACCATGTTGAAAAGTGTAGTCTTAGAGATTATTATTGCATAGGCAAAGATATTAAATGTGTTTGTATATATGTTGACTGACCTGAGACAAGACTTGAAACAAGGTCTTTGCCAGCTCTTGCTGTTACAATGGTACTGTTGTGAGCGCCGGAGACGCATGGACCGTGATCAGCACACAGCATTATGCATATCTATTTCAGTGCATTTTTCAAAAGTGGCATAGACCAGAGTTAATCTCACTATATATTGATATGAGAACATTGTATATTGAGAAAGAATATCTTCAAAAGAAAAGAGAGAAACTGATATATTGTTTTGAAAGGAACCACCATTAATATATTATAAAACTGGAACGGAATTCAGTATGCTACTCTGTCAGTAGTAATCAGCTATCATGTGCTCTATTAATTAGGTAGGTAGTTCACAACTTCTACCCAAATGGATTTTCTCTAACAACAACTAATGTAATATCTGATTAGTATAGTAAATACAAATTAATGGCTAAATTTGTTTATTAGTTACATAATATGTAGTTTTGTCCTTTTAAACATGTGATGGTAGTTACACTGTCGACTTCTAATCACCTTGCTGTAGGTGGTAGAGATCTGCTACATTCTTGTCTTCAAGACTCAGCAACGTCTGATTCAGTCTCTTTTAGGTAGGATTAGTATATATTAGCATAACTATTTTTTTTAATCAGAACAAGAATGTTGAGGATCTTGAACACACTTCTTATCTCCCCAAGCATCGATCTCATCTCAGAAATGTAAACAGAGCGCTGATAATGCAGAAGAGTAGTAGAACGTAACACACAACTACAGAACACAAGTATATTTATTTGACCTAATCCAGCATTTCACTGAGAACATTATTTGAATAAGAAGTTATCTCTAGTATCATTTGTAGTTACCGAACGCATGACAACAAGTAATAGCTCCCATCATATAAAATGGTCCAAAGATACAAACGTAAAAAGACAAAGTGCTCATGTTTTAAAGGACGCAAGTGCTTGCAGAGAACCACCACAACCATACTCATGCCATGGTCCACCTCTACAATCTCCAGCCGCTATTTCCGCGTTTACGTTCTCATCATCGCCGCCACTCTGCGTCAGCGTTAAGGTAGTCGTGGGACTCAAGGCGATCATACTCTCTAAATCCTCGACGTATCTTGAAAGCCACGTCTTCTCCGACTTCAAAACCGCGTTTTCAGACTCCAACGAGTCAAGCCTCCTTCTAGCCACTTTGCATCTCTCGCTGTTCTCTTTGATTCGTCTCTCAAGAGCCGAGATCTCGTTGATGGTGTCTTGCATTATCTTCTGTTTCTTCAACCGCGACCTTCTAGCTGATTCGCGGTTTGACAACTTGCGTTTCCTCTTCTTCTCATCTATGTCAGAACCTGAACTTGTCTTCTCTACGTTTGCCATGTTCTTTAAAAAATTGAAAAAAGATAAAATAAATTTGTTCAAGAAATGACGTAAAACCAATGGAGAATCACAACGGATACAGAATGATAAACAAGGAAGCGAGAGAACTGGTTTAGATTTCTCATTTCATAACTCCGTCCATTGACGTTTATCTTTGGTCGTTGGTTAATTAATAACAACTCTAGAACCAGACAAGATCTCAAGAAGTTAAACAAGAAGATGTAATGTTTATCAGATAGAAAGATATATTAGAAGCGAAATAGAACAAGGAAGAAGATAAGGATAAGATCGAATAAGGGAAAGGGGAGATGTTGTTCGTCATAGGTTACCCCCTATTTATAGATTTATAACATATATTATATAAATAACAATCTCGTCGGTCTTCTTATACATTACAGAAGATTATCCGAAATAAAAAGGGAAGGTTCATCGAATGACATAAAATGGATAATGTATAGAAATGAAATGGATATTGGAGACTTTGGTCAATAACATGATAATATTATTCTTTACAGCTAAATATGCGTTGGTCTTGTGCCTTTATCAGGCAAGACTACTTATTACTATTTCTAGCTTTTTCGTTATGTGACTAGTCATGGGGTAATTATATGTACAACCAAGAAAACTGGATTTTCTGACCTTTTCTATGTCCTTGTCCAAATTTAATTTCTCGATTGTTCATTTGTTCACCAAGTCGCTTTCCTGCGACTCCAATGAAAATGGAAACGGTCGACTGAAAAGTATAATGAGTTAAGACTTAACTATACACACATAGTTATTCACCAATTGCTGACAGACCGTATGAACAAAGTCTTCTTGCGATGGAATCATTTTTAGTTTCTAGTGATTAACTGTATCCTTTAATCCACATTAACGAACGAACAAATCATTCTTAATTGTTTTGTTGTTGAACTTTAACCATTTTTAATGGCACAGAAAATAAAACCATACGTAAGCCATATATCGTTAAATTAAACATGAGATTCATTTGGAAGTTTTAAAATTTTAAACGTGGAGCAATGACAGCTATTTTACTTCGTGGATTTGGAGATTACGCCTAACATAACATGGTTGACAATTTATTAATAAAGAAAATTATCCAACTTAAAAGCATATACTCCTGTTGATATTTCTTTTGTGCGTGTCTTATTCCAAATGATTTTCAAATGGAAAGATTGAAAATATAAAGTAAAGGGGTCTGTATTGGTAAGACAGCCTACTTTTTCGAATGAAAATACAAATTAAATATAGTAATATAGAGTTGAAAATGCAGCATCCTTATCTGCTCATCGATTACTTAATATATTAATATTTACCACAAATAAAAGAAAATATCCTTAGATGCGAACGTATTGTTCTCAGCTAACAGTGAATGTGTACATGCACTTGGTTGGTTAGATTAGATACTTTATAGTTTTGAAGTATATATAGATGTTCGGTGTGTCTATCTTCATTTTTTTGGTTTTTTTAAAAAAATATAAAAAAAAATTTAAAATTAAAATAGCAAAAAAAGAATATATTATTTGAAATAGCAGATATGCAACCATTTGGCGGTAAATGACTAGGTTTCTTTTTACGTTTTGTAATGCAAGCTTGCTAAATTTGCAACCATATATACATGTAACGCCATATATGAAAAACCCATCTAAGTGTATTTTTTTTTAATATTTGCTAGATGAGTTTTTGGATTCGTTGTGTTTTCTGTTTGCCAATATTGTATTTTGATCTCTCTCAATGTTTTCCATTGCTTTCTCTTTTAACATGTGATCAGAGCTGGCCATTGGACCAAGCCAATGAAGTATATTTCCTGCCGACAATTGTAACAAGAAAATCCGACTACATTTTTACAAAATGCTATATTAGTCTAGTGGTTTAAGACGTAATAAATAGATTTAATTTGGATAACTCGATTTCAAAACTATGTTAGTACATATTTTCTTTTTTCTTTTTTTTTGGTTTTGATAAGTGGCCACATTTCTTTTTGCTTCCAACCTTCTTAAACCGGATCGGCTCTGCATGTGTCATCTGTCTTCTTTATCCCTTGTCGAACTGATAATAAACCGCCGTATTGAACAAAGTCAATCTTTCGTTTCATTATTCCTAATTGGCTAGTCTCGTCTCGCAAATGATATTACCAAACCTTAAATTTATAAACTCTGATAAATTAATGAAAACTTGACTTTAAACATTACTAGTGGTTGGTCCGCGCTTCGCGCGGAATTGCTATATTTGATATTAATTTTATTTTGAAAGGTTAGCTATATTTTACATGAAACCATTATTTCTAGAGACTTTGCATGTCTAATATGTCATTACATCAAGTGTCTTAGTTTTAGGTTTGTTTAACTTGCATTGTGTAATACATGTTCATTGATTCAGGAATGTTTGATTATTTTTTAATTACATAAGTACCACCTGTATTTTAATTATGCTTTCCTAAATTTCATCGATTTGTTATTTTCTTGGTTGTTATGTTAGGCAACACAATTATTAAATAAAATATACATTTCTGCTATTGAGATTTTTAAAAGGTCTCTTACTATTTAAATAAAATCCATCTTTTGAAATTTGAATCGGTCATCTCTTATTTAAATAGCAAGAGTTGTTAAGGATAAATTTCTACATAAACTTTTTTACAATGATGATGTCTCGGAGAAACTTTTTTTTTTCTCGTCCCGGAAAGGAAGAAGCCGTATGACAACCATATGTCTACACTGACAGGTTTCAAATCAAGTAAAGAAAATTCTTCTGTCTACGCCAACACTCCGAAACCAACCGGTTTCCATCCACATACAAACTCTGCAAGCTCTTGTTCTTGAAAAGTTCAGCTGCAACATACACAATTGCTTTGTCTTTAGCCAATTATTTAGCACCTTACCTTCTCTAATTGTTCTGTTCTGCTCAAGAACTTTTTGAAACTCTTTCACCACGTGGGCCTGTCATGTCTTGGTATGTCATAGTTGTTATCATCCCCAATGCTGCAGGAACTCTGCAATAGAAGAAATGTTGATCTGGTAAGTCATTAGAGTGTTGATCTCAGACAAGAATTCAACAACCTTTGTGAATATGTCCCTTTTGTGATCTCCACTCATATGTAAACCTCCATTTCTCTTTTTACACATAAAAGGGTAGATATTAGTGGCAGCGCAGTGAGGGGCCTGAAGGCGAATATAGAGTGTACTTTTAAAAAAAATAACTTACCCATCTCTCAATGTCAAACACAAGGCTACATATTTCTTATATTTGCTCTCCACGAATAGTGTTGCAGAATCTGTATCAGATTTTGCTTGAAAAGTGACTGAAAAGAGTCAATACACCAACTTGGTTCAAAGTTTATAGCAGAAAAGGTGAGAGGTC